GGCCCATCGATCCAGCCTGTCCAGGTCCCTCTGCAGAGCCTTCCTACCCTCGAGCAGATCAACACTCCCGCCCAACTTGGTGTCATCTGCAAACTTACTGAGGGTGCACTCGATCCCCTCATCCAGATCATTGATAAAGATATTGAACAAGACCGGCCCCAATCCTGAGCCCTGGGGAACACTGCTCGTGACCAGCCGAAGATTTTTGAAGATTCACTTCAAAAGCTCACTTCTGATCTAAATTAAAATGCTACCAAAGACACATCCATACCTTGTAACAAAACAAGGCTATCATCTGGCACAGGAAAGGAGACTATGTTTTGATCGCAGAGGTAACTGGAAGGAATGCCTGGCATGGATTTTAACAATCACTGTTTTCTTTTTACCATTTATAGCAAATAAACTAGTTGCAGAGATTTTATAAACTCTAAAATATTCATGATTTATTCGGGTTATCTGAAATCATAAATGTTGCAGGTATTTAGAATGAGCACATCACTTACAGGAGCTGTTCTGTGCACTAATGCAAATTGGGGAATTACTGTTACAAGAGTGTTTCTTAGGAAAAACGTGGTTTGCTTTGCATAATACCACAAGATTTGAAAAGAAAGAATGTAGTTACATCATGGAAAAAATATACTCTATTTATGCTGCAGGGAAAAGCTGCAAGTTCATGTAAGTACAATATATGTCTAGGAAACATGGGCAGCTCTTACACTGGGGCCAATCCTCATCAGAACTTCATAACCTTGCTAAAATCTTTCTTGCTCTTACACAAAAATCAGAATACCACTTAAAGCAAAATAAATGTTCCGATCCTCAGAACTCTACAGAAGAAAGTATTTTATCCTTAACAGAGCGGTCAGAGTAAGTTAATCTAGTACATGGATATACGTAACCCATTATAATAAATGTTCTCCCTTGTGGTTACAGCCAAAAAAATATGCTTTATTCAAATTAATGCAGACAAGCCTTATGTCTGGGCAAAATATGCCTGCAAAGTTTATTTCATTATTTAAAACAAAACAACCATCAGTTTTAGGAAGGTAGACCACACCACAGAAACCAGAGTCAAAATAAGGTGTGGGTACAGCAGAGGGCCCGAGCAGGAGAGTGGAAAAGCAAAACACAGCAAACACAAACAAGGCTGACGGCTGGAGCTTCTGCCCTCTGTTTTCAGTAGCTGAGATTTTTTCTTCCACCAAGAATAAAACACCAGATGTTTTAATACTGAGCTAGAGAAATAAGCTTGCCAATTTTACTGCGGTACAGCCAGCAGCCCCCGAAGCTGGGAAACAACGCGGGCGGCCTCTGCGCTCACAAATGTAAACCTCCCCGTGCGCTGAGAGAACAACCCCCAAAAGAGTTTAAAATGGCCTAAAACCCACTCCCCCGTGTTTGCTTAGATCATTTCCCTCCGGGGAGGAGGGAATGGGGGGTGTGTGGGGAAAGCCGCCCCATTCCG